GGCATTATTTTTCAAAGATAAAAGTTTATTACCTGCAGTAAGAAGATCTCAATGACTGTGACATAGGTATCAGAGGAAGACCATTTTCATCTAAGTAAACTACCCCTACGACCTCAGTTTCTTTCACACCAATGATCTCCTATTTCTCCCTTCCCCATCCCTGGTAACCTTTATTCCACTTTCTGTCTCTGAATTAAAGTGAAATATTTCAACATTATCAGAGAGAAAATATAGCCTATAAAAGTCCAACATTTAGACCAATAGTGGACTTATAAATAGCAATGATAAATCCCAATAGATAATGCAGTACTATAACAGCTTGAAAGTGCTAAAGGGAAATAAAGAACATCCTCAAATTTTCTACTCACCTAAACTATTAAGAATGAGGACAAAATAAAGACACTTTTAGATCTAGAAAGGCTAAAGAATTTTGCTATCCATAGAAACTAACTGAAAGAATCATTAAAGGAGCATGCTTTCAGCATGAAAAGTAAATCGAGAATGAAGGATGGGAAATAAGAAATAAGGTAAACATAAAAGTCAATGTTATTAAATGTTAAAAATGTTATTAACTAGCGAGTGGATGTGAGTCTTTAAACATAAAATTTATTCTGCTAAGCAGGAAAAGGAATAATGATAAATCCACACATACATGGTATAGTAAATTTCAGTACTTTAAGGATAAAGCAAAATTTTTTTCATGGCAAATTCTTCCTTTTTTATTAAGGTAAAAGATACATAATATAAAATTTACCACCATTTTAAAGTGTACGATTCAGTAGTATTAAGTATACTCACAGCATTGTATAACCATCATCATTACTTATTTCCAGAATTTTTTCTTCATCCCAAACTGAAACTCTGTACACATTAAACAATAACCCCATTTCTCCCTTCCCCATCCCTGGTAACCTTTATTCCACTTTCTGTCTCTGAATTAAAGTGAAGTATTTCAACATTATCAGAGAGAAAATATAGCCTATAAAAGTCCAACATTTAGACCAATAGTGGACTTATAAATAGCAATGATAAATCCCAATAGATAATGCAGTACTATAACAGCTTGAAAGTGCTAAAGGGAAATAAAGAACATCCTCAAATTTTCTACTCACCTAAACTATTAAGAATGAGGACAAAATAAAGACACTTTTAGATCTAGAAAGGCTAAAGAATTTTGCTATCCATAGAAACTAACTGAAAGAATCATTAAAGGAGCATGCTTTCAGCATGAAAAGTAAATCGAGAATGAAGGATGGGAAATAAGAAATA